TGCCAAGAAGCCAGGAGGGAGGTGTGGGGGTTTGTACATTCTGAGGCTTCACTTATCGAACAGAATCAACAGATGCTTTAGATAATAAAAAAGCACTCATAATGTGTGCAAGGAGGAAACCATCTTCCAAATGCTAAAAGATGAAATAAGTGTAATCTTGGGTAAAGTTACAGAGGGTTAGAATATACCTACTTAACATTCCAGGAGAAAATCAGGATGAAGGTCAAGAGGAGGTTCATCAGCTACATGATGGAGCATACAAGGAACATAATGAATGATATAGATACTATGTAGAGGTTATCTGATGGATAATATAACTATAATTTAATTTAGAATGAATGAAAGATCTATAATATAGAAGCAAAGTAGGGTGATCCACTACCATGGCTAGAAATAGCATGCAAAAAATTTGAGCATTACTTGGAACTGGCACAAAACCCCAAGATGTGGAAACATCGTTTTATATGACAAACAAAAGTAATTTCAAAATATACTTAAACTTTTTTCAGTAGGAAGGAGGTTAATAATAGAGCAATTTTGTCCAACTTTTGCTGTTAAATTGTAGAAAATCGTACAATATTTTAGCACACTCATCTGCTATAATGGCAGCAGAATTTCCTTTTTTCCAATGTACATTCCAAATAATTTTCCATGAGACTAAGAGCAGGGGAAAGGCCAGGAATCATTCAGTTTAGATACAGAAAACTCTGTTGTGAAAAACAATTTAACCATCATGTAATTTGATCTTCATAACACATATGATAGAATTTTGGGAATAAACCATCAACCTACACAGAATCAAAAACACATTCTAAATAAAGGCAGGCTGGAATGGTATAACCCTTAATAGCCAGGGTAATAGAAATAGCCCCTGAAGGCTAACCTAACAACTTCTGGTGTTTTGTTCATGTAAGAAACAATTTCGAAGAGAATACAGGCAGTTCAAGTATTGTAAGGACCAAGTAACTTTTGTATAAACCACAGTTCGAAAGTTTTTATGATACAGGATAATAAGGAAATACGAATTCATTTGACTCTGGTACAGGAAATGCAATAAAGGCTTAAATTATCCTAGCTGAAGTGGCGATACAGGCAAAAATAAACTTGACAACGGCAAAAAACATACTTGTTACACTTTACATTCCACTAAGCCTTTGGTAATAAATTTGGAGATGTGTGGATGGGTAAGGAGAAGGTTCTTTTGCTTTTACCGGGATTATTCCAACAGTTTGTTTTGTTTGTTTGTTTGTTTTTGAAGATCGCGCAAAGCTACACGAGGGCTATCTGCGCTAGCCATCCCTAAATTAACAGTGCAAGACTAGAGGGAAGGCAGCTAGTCATCACCACTCACCGCCAACTCTTGGGCTACTCTTTTACCAACGAATAGTGGGATTAACCGTCACATTATAACGCCCCCACGGCTGAAAGGGCGAGCATGTTTGGTGGGACGGGGATTCGAACCCGCGACCCTCAGATTGCGAGTCGAGCACCTTATCCACCTGGCCATGCCAGGCCCTATTCCAACAGAACAAATAATACAAAAATCAGGAATAGCATGTGTGAGAGAAGTATCTACATGAAAAATTATATTAATCACAGCATATATTTGTAGCAAGAGGGGAAGAAGATAAGCAGTTGAATGGCCAAAACCAAAAGAGATTTTAGCGAGGCATAGGAAATTATCACTACCAAAGAGTCTATATGAATAGCCCAAGTACATGTTTCACCCTAATGTCCAGATACCATGGTAATGTCAGGAGCTAAGAACCTCCCAATGTGAAAGCCCAAATGATTAAGACCCACAACCTTTTATGAGGTTCCTCTTATTCTCATTCAATGGTTTATTGAATGCCTTTCTGGTGAAAGAGGTTAATTATTTTTGTTAACGTTTACATTAAAGTCCCCGAAAGTAAGAAAGAAGGAATAATTAACTTAAAAAAGATAGAGAGGTAAGAATGTAATATGTAAACCTGTCACAAGAATTGCAACATTTATGATGCAAAAAGTTTTGAGACCCAATAAACCTAAGGACTCTAATGAAGAGACATTTGAAGGAGAAACAGCAGAGAAAGAAATATCCTGTTAGTTCAGTTAGACCACTATGTTCCTACAGGTAGTATATTCATTCCAACAGATGGTATGTTCAGGGAAAGAATTCATAGTTGAAGGTTTTAGATACACATACCAAAATAACATGAGGAAGGTCTTATCAACATACCTTCACAATTTGGTTTCGTGGGCACAAATACTTTTAGCATTCATTTTATAAAACATATATCAAGTGGTAGAATCATCTTGAGACTGGAGTAGAGTATGAATTTGTTCTGGAACCAAATTGGTAAAATTTAAATGTTTATAAGCTGCAGTGTTCAGAAGCCTTGGTACTACTGTTAATAAGTTAAGAAAAAACAACATGAAATCCGATGTAAAATTGATAACTACAGAATAAAGTGAGAGTTGAGTTAAATACATATGTCAACAAATGTTTATTTAATTTCAACTGAGTTGGTGTTTGGTTAAGTAGGGAGAGTATAATCAGTAAGGCAGAATCAAGAACCAGGTAAAATCTTAGAAAAAATTGAGGCGAAATTGAGTTACCAAAATTCATGTAAGTCAGAAAAATATGTATGCATCTTCTTCTCTAATGATATTATGACAATATCTGACACATTCTAATTTTTTAGCATCAAGTCATTTTCGAAATTGTCTAAATTAACCAATGTAGGAATTCTAAGAATTGGCACATTGAGAAGAAATGGCCAATTGACAAATGTTAGAGTGAAAACTCCAAAGTAGACCACTTATTACCTCCTCTGCAATTAGTTGCAAGTCTCCTACGTCTTTCACAATTAAAACACCAAGCAAGGCTGTGAATGGTCAAATGGAATATTTCTTGAATACAATCATCACATAAGGGAGAGGAGTCATTTTTTCAAAAGTAAGGACAATACTTCGAGTTCTGCAAATGGATCTTAATACTTTCAATTAGGTTCTATTACAGCCATTATGTGATGTTTCTGACAGAATCATTCCTCATGTAGCTCTCTGATGGATATTTCTGAAGAGATGCAAGAAATCACTCCAAGGTGGTCAGTATGTAAC